TAAGAAGTCGAGACGAAGGAGAGGACAAGCTCGCAAGCTTTCCTAGAGGAAGACAAAGAGAAGTTGAACAAGCTCTCAAGCTTTTTCAAGAAAGAAGAAAAACTGTTAGGTTTTCTACTCAAAAAATTGCATCATAACACACTTTTTCTATTACAAAACACTTTATATTTATAGGGGAAAAGGGGCAGCCAAACATCCCAAAATACCCTTCAATTAAACCCATAAAACAAGAGAATATGGAAGGCCAAAAATCAGTCCAAAATAGCACCCAAACAGCCACATAAAAAACCCAAAAATGCAGCCAAGGGGGAACCGAAATAGCAGCCAAAGGGAGCCAGAATAGCACCTGAAAAGGCCACACAGAAAATTGGTAAAAACAGCCATGGGACAAGCAGCAAGGGGAGGAACTGAAGGGGCAGAGCAGCCACGGGACAAGTAGCCAGGGGAGGAACCGAAGGGGCAACACAGGAAACGGAACCAGTAGCCAGAGGAATCGGGACAACAGCTAGGGGACTGGAATAGGCAATTAAAAGGGGAGGAATCAGCCACGGGATGGGGGAGCTAGGTGGGGAAACCAAATGAAAATCAAATGGGGGAATGAACCTTAATTTATTTTAGGTTTATGAGTTAAAAGGCTCTCTACTAGAAATAGGTGTTATTGATATCAGTATTTAAAGGATCATGATGTAAGAATATAGAAGTAATTATTGTGTGTTTGTTTGCTTATATTTTTTTTTTCTTTTTGTTAATTGTTTATAGTTGATTTTTTTTATGGTTTGTTGTATGTGTGCTTGTTTGTGAAATTTGCTCAGTGTATCTTCTTTGATTATCACACAAAAAAATTACACATCATAATATATGATTATGATCGTACGGTACGATCTTAACATATTTGCAAATCATCAGTGGAGAGCACATCCGTCAACTCTGATTGAATCAATCATTGGTTGTCGTACTATACAAACCCCTATGTATGTTGAGGATGATGATGAGTAGACACGGCAATGACGAAACAAACAAGAAAGTAAAAGCAGCAAACAATAAAAGATGCCAAGATTTAACATGGAAAAATTCAAATCATACCACACCAAGAAATCTATTATGAAATTGAGAGAAATAAATACAAATCTCTCTTCTCTCTCGCTCTCTCCTTGCTTCTCTTCTCACATGCATCATTCTCAATGTCTACACACTCAAAATACAAGAGAAAGCCAACTAAAATAACCCCAAGGGATGCAACCCCTCAGAGAAAGGAGAAAGAAAATCATCCAGTCCGTCTCGCAGCTCTGTGGTACTAGTTTTGGACACTGCGGTGCACAAGCCTTTGTTTTGCACTGCTGTAGCACCGTATCTATATCGTTGCAGCACTCTGCTCTATGTTCTTCAACACTAGGGATGTAATAACACGTATCTTGGCCCAAGTAAATATTTTTTTCTGGAGTCATTATAGCTCCAAATTATAAATTGCAGTATTTTACTTAATTGATTTTTTTTTCGTAATTTTTGGGTGCCATTGAAAATCCTTAAGAAATAGACACTTGTCAGTACAAGTAAGATTTTGTGATCGTCAAGTGTCCTTTTTGCAAATTGATTTCACCAATATTTTTTAAATAAAATAATTTATTTTATAAATATTTTCCTATAATTTTTAAGCCCCAAAAGAATTTATATGAATTATTATTATTAATAATGATAATAAAATGCGGCAATCACCAAATTTAGGAGCCGAAGACTAATATTCAGGGTTGATATTTTCCTCGAAGCCCTAAGTCATCAATTTTTATCCAATCGAGTGAACCTAAAAGACCAAGTGTCCTCCCCAATGTTTAAAATTGCGTATTCGGGTATTGAGGCGTTTTTCATTCGTGAGGCGAGGCGTAAGTCTCAAGGCGTTTTGAGGCGTAAGCCTCAAAATCAAAAAATTGCGTAAACATAAAATGATAAATTTTTTAAATACTAATGAAAGAATAATATAAAACATAAAAAAGCATAAGATATGAAGTGAAATCAAAATA